CACCTATATTACAGGCAGTTATCAACAGTTGTATTAATTATATTATTTAATATTTTCAGTCATTCACTGCTACTCATCACACACAATGTTATTGACAGACCATATTCATGGTTTGTGTTTGGTAATAAATATAACACACCTTTCAAGAATTGCACTGAACAATGAGTCCTTAACTAAAATAACATATTTCTCTGTGTGGTTTCTCATAGCTGTTCTGGGCACCTCCACCTAAATACATGACTATGTCTTCATTGTAATTATTTATAGGGGAGAGAGTTTAAGAATGTGTTTTATAAGGCTTGTCTATCAAAATGAGTGTTGGGTGCAATAGTTCAAAGCTACCCAAGCATGACTTCTACCCAGGATGCACCTGTACTCTGATAAAGCCATTTCCCTGATATAGTAACTTGATTAACCCTAAAAAAGGACCAATGTACAAAGTGCAGTAATATATATATATATATATATATATATATATATATATATATATATATATATATATTACTGCACTTTGTACATTGGTCTTACAATATATGTACAGTTGAAGTCGGACATTTCAATACACTTAGGTTGGAGTCATTAAAACTCGTTTTTCAACCACTCCACAAATTTCTGGTTAACAAACTATAGTTTTGGCAAGTCGGTTACGACATCTACTTTGTGCGTGACACAAGTAATTTTTCCAACAATTGTTTACAGACAGATTATTTCACTTATAATTCACTGTATCAAAATTTCAGTGGGTCAGAAGTTAACATACACTAAGTTGACTGTGCCTTTAAACAGCGTGGTAAATTCCAGAAAATGATGTCATGGCTTTAGAAGCTTCTGATAGGCTAATTGACACCATTTGAGTCAATTGGAGGTGTACCGGTGGATATATTTCAAGGCCTACCTTCAAACTCAGTGCCTCTTTGCTTGACATTATGGGAAAATCAAAAGAAATCAGCCAAGACCTCAGAAAAAAAATTGTAGACCTCCACAAGTCTGGTTCATCCTTGAGCAATTTCCAAATACCTGAAGGTACCACGTTCATCTGTACAAACAAGAGTACGCAAGTATAAACACCTTGGGACCACGCAGCCGTCATACCGCTCAGGAAGGAGACGCGTTCTGTCTCCTAGAGATGAACGTACTTGGGTGCGAAAAGTGCAAATCAGTCCCAGAACAACAGCAAAGGACATTGTGAAGATGCTGGAGGAAACAGGTACAAAAGTATCTACAGTATATCCACAGTAAAACGAGTCCTATATCGACAAAACCTGAAAAAAGCCACTCAGCAAGGAAGAAGCCACTGCTCCAAAACCGCCATTAAAAAGGCAGACTACGGATTGCAACTGCACATGGGGACAAAGATCTTACTTTTTTGAGAAATGTCCTCTGGTCTGATGAAAAAAAATAGAACTGTTTGGCCATAATGACCATCGTTATGTTTGGAGGAAAAAGGGGGTGCTTGCAAGCCGAAGAACACCATCCCAACCGTGAAGCACGGGGGTGGCAGCATCATGCTATGGGGGTGCTTTGCTGCAGGAGGGACTGGTGCACCTCACAAAATAGATGGCATCATGAGGAAGGAAAATTATGTGGATGTATTGAAACAACATCCCAAGACATCAGTCAGGAAGTTAAAGCTTGGTCACAAAAGGGTCTTCCAAATGGACAATGACCCCAAGCATACTTCTAAAGTTGTGGCAAAATGGCTTAAGGACAACAAAGTCAAAGTATTGGAGTGGCCATCACAAAGCCCTTACCTCAATCCTATAGAAAATGTGTGGGCAGAACTGAAAAAGTGTGTGCGAGCAAGGAGGCCTACAAACCTGACTCAGTTACACCAGCTCTGTGAGGAGGAATGGGCCAAAATTCACCCAACTTATTGTGGGAAGCTTGTGGAAGGCTACCCGACACGTTTGACCCAAGTTAAACAATTTAAAGGCAATGCTACCAAATACTAATTGAGTGTATGTAAACTTCTGACCCACTGGGAATGTGATTAAATAAATAAAAGCTGAAATAAATCATTCTCTCTACTATTATTCTGACATTTCACATTCTTAAAATAAAGTGGTGATCCTAACTCACCTAAGACAGGGAATTTTTACTAGGATTAAATGTCAGGAATTGTGAAAAACTGAGTTTAAATGTATTTGGCTAAGATTTATGTAAACCTCCGACTTCAACTGTATATATATATATATAAAAAAACTAACAACAGTGATGTACTGCAAATGCGGAGTAAATGACTAATTATGATTTGAAATAGTAATTGATTGAAGTTTAGCCTTCTATTGGTTTGTTGATAGTTGCATTTTAGGATACAGTCAGGATGTGAATTGTTCATTATTATTATTATCTAGTTATATAGTTTTGTGTTATAAAAAAAAATATATATATATATATTGTATTTTATGACTTCATTGAACAGAGAGAGTGAGGATGACAGTGATGAAAGGTTGTGTCAAAGGGCAGTTTCATTCAAAACATTTCAGAAAACATATGAGACAACATAACACAATTTCTTACAGGGGCCACTTGTATGAATGTGTTTGTGATATTGTTGTGGGAAATATAAACATTTTATATAATTTTATATAAATTATTTCACGACAATTTATAATACATGAAACATAATGTTAGTATGAGAGCCGAGAAAAATATATACTTTAATGTTTAAACAATACAGAAAATGTTTGCTGATTGACAGTGAACACTGACGTCTGGCATTGTCTTAGAATTGAATATTTACCTTGAAACCTCTTTTATATGCATGTGACATGCTACCAGCCAACCATGGTTGTCATGCAAATTCTGTCTCCCAATGTGTCTAGCAATTTATTGGAACAAGGTATTTTACGTATAGAGATAATGATAATATCCATTGAGTTAACATATTAGTGATCTGTTGTCTTCATTCTCTTTTCTCTATTAGGGGTGTATGGTCAGAGTCTGGAGGCCATTCCATCCAGTCCTGTCCTGAAAAAGCCTGTAGAAACTCTCAGCCTCTCCTGTAAGGGATCTGGATTTACATTTAGTAGCTACTGTACCTGACAGGTTCGGCATATCAAGAATCTGATTAAACAGCATGAACATTACACAGGTGCACTTTGTACTGGGGACAACAAAAGGCCACCCTAAAATGTATAGTTTTGTCACCTAACAAAATGACACAGATGTCTCAAGTTTTGAGGGAGCATGCAATTGGCATGCTGACTGCAGGAATGCCCACCAGAGCTGTTGCCAGAGAACTGAATGTTCATTTCTCTACCTTGAGCTACATCCCATGTCGATTTAGAGAATTTGGCAGTACGTCCAAATGGCCTCACATCCGCAGACCATGTGTATGGCGTCGTATGGGTGAGCGGTTTGTTGATGTCAACATTGTGAACAGAGTGCCCCATGGTGGCAGTGGGGTTATTGTACGGCCAGGCATAAACTATGGACAACAAACTGTTACGTTAATTATTTAACAAACTATTTCAGTGTCTCTGTGCGTCTCCCAAAAGGTTGTAAGTCTTTTGGATTTAAGAAACGGACAGAGTCTCGGTCTGCATAGTCAGAGATGTTTATTCATTGAGAATTCTGCCATCACAATTTCAGAGTCCATCTTTTATACTCACACGTCATACAAAAATCCCTCCTCTCTGTAGGCGGGCTGTAGTTTTCCACTTTAAAACTGCTCTCCTGACCATCAGTACACACACACACACACACACACACACACACACACACACACACACACACACACACACACACACTCTTCCAAGTCTAACAGTTTCTCTCCTCCCTAAATTCCTCAGTTATCTTGGTTTCTCAGTTGCCTGTAGACAGTTCTCCTTGTCCTTTGTTGTCTGGTCTAACTCTTACTCACATTGCTAAATAGTAGCTCAATGTCATAGTCTTTACTGGTCCTACACTCACACATTACCAGGTTGTAGATTCTAACACATCTCACACAGTTTCAGAGTATAATAATTAGTCACTACTAAGAAAGTACTAATCATACTTAAAACAATAACATTTCACAACTATATTTAAGGGTGGAACATTTAGTCATTATTTTTAACCTGTATATATTTTAATTTCTATATCACAAACATAATAGCATTTTATCTATGGAGATACCGTGACGAGAACCTAATGCCCATTGTCGTGCCATTCATCTGCCGCCATCACCTCATGTTTCAGCATGATAATGCACAGTCACATGTTGCAAGGATTTGCACACAATCCTGGAAACTGAAAATATCCCAGTTCTTCCATGGCCTGCATAATCACCAGGCATGTCACCCATTGAGTATGTTTGGGATGCTCTGGATCAACGTGTACGACAGCGTGTTCCAGTTCCAGTTTTTTTTAAGGTATCTGTGACCAACAGATGCATATCTGTATTCACAGTCATGTGAAGTCCATTCATTAAGGCCTAATGCATTTATTTCATTTGACTTTTCCTCATATGAAATGTGACTCAGTAAAATCTTTGAAATTGTTGCACGTTGTGTTTATGTTTTTGTTCAGTATAGAAGATGAGATTGATAGCAGACTTTTGCTGTTAACTAAAAAGAGTAATGGGCCAAATATATACTGTACCATACTGTAAACAACAAGCAGAACAGAACCATTCATAATGCAGGTCAATGCATCCTATAACAGATCATTGTATTATTATGATAAATAGCTGTTCTCCTCAACATGTCACTGTGATACTAGTCATTTATTTACTGTACTTCTCCTTTAATCCTAAATATTTTACTTCTATGCAAATAAAATCACTTCTCTGTATATAAAGAGGAGTCTACTCTCTTTCACTCACTTGGAGTAAATAAGTATTGGTCCTACCAGTTCAGCTTTCTCACAAACTCCCTGCATCTGTGCTGCTGGTGCTGCTGGCAGCTGCCTCCTGTGAGTTCCTTTGAGGGATTAGGAGTTTGAACACAGAAGATTCTATGTTTTTTAAAAGTATTACAATAATATAATCAAACTGTATATTTGATTTGCCTCCCCAGGTGTGTGTGGTATTGTTGACCCAGAACTCACCCAGCCAAGCTCAATGGTTGTAAAACCTGGAGAGTCTTTGAGCGTCACCTGTAAGGTCTCTGGGTATTCTATCAGTGATGATAGCTATACCACAGACTGGATTAGATATCCTGTAGGTAAAGCTATGGAATGGATCGTTGACTCAGATGGAAACTCCAAGGATTCTTTCAAAAGCAGGTTAAGCATCTCCAAAGATGGTTCCAACAACATAGTCACTTTAGAAGGGCAGAGAAGTCAAACTGAAGACACAACTGTCTATTACTGTGTCAGACATAATTACACACAGTGGTGTGAAGAAAAGCATGACCTGTACAAAAACAACAAAAATGTCTATTGCAGGAAACCATCGTTCCCTAAGGACAACACAGTTCAAATTGTCACAGTCAAAATGGACACTTCCTGGGAATGTGAGATAAACTGTCTAAAAAGCTTTATACATAATTAATACATGTATCTGCAGTCATATTCAAACCATGAATAACAGACTTGTACATGTAAGTTCAAAACTGTTTAATGTTTATAGGCAGGTTATAAGCAGGTTTTTCTTATAAAGTGATACTATGTGTTTTCTTCGTTATTTTAGTGATATAAATAATGAACATCCAAATACACCAAAGGGGCTGGAGTGCCTAGTATTAAACAGAAAGGTTAAACCATTCATTCATAATGATGCTGACTAAATAACAACTATTAAAGGTTAAACCATTCATAATGATGCTGACTAAATAACAACTATTAAAGGTTAAACCATTCATAATGATGCTGACTAAATGACAACTATTAAAGGTTAAACCTTTCATAATGATGCTGACTAAATAACTATTAAAGGTTAAACCATTCATAATGATGCTGACTAAATAACTATTAAAGGTTAAACCATTCATAATGATGCTGACTAAATAACAATTATTTTCAGTGAGTTGAAAAATAAAATACAGTACGATGAACCTTATTATAAGACATTATAAAGGCTCAGACATGTTTAGAACAGTTATAACACATTGAACCTGCCAGGAATTAGGGAAAATGTTACCTACAACTCTAAAGGTTAATTAAACCATGTTATCTAAAAATAAAAGACTAAAAAAAATGTATACACTCACTAACTGTAAGTCGCTCTGGATAAGAGCGTCTGCTAAATGACTAAAATGTAAATGTAATACTTTACAAAAAAGTAAACAAACTGTTAAAAATGTTCTGAAGTATTTGAACAAATTATATATATTTGTATTATTACCTATCCACATACCATCTGAATGTGTTGCTATCCTCATAGAGCAGGTGTGTGGTACTGGTGGGAGGTTTTTGTTATGGTTTATACAACGGGTGTGTCTAACCCTGAATGCTGATTGGTTAAAACCGCATTCCAGCCGTGTCTATTACACAAGTTACCACCGGCTAAATCTATGACGTTAAAAAGCCTATTTACTCTTTTGCATCTGACTGCGCATTCCACTGTCTCATCAGCCCAGCCAGGCAGTTTATAAACATGATCTCCACTATAGCATTTCGTTTAGACTAACATTTAGTTTTCAACAGCGGAGATTTGTATAAACCTTGCTGTCTGTCTCTCCGAGATTTGCAACATTGTTTAAGTATTCAAATTCGATCTCCAGCTGTCCCATAGTAATGAACCTGTGTCGGGAGTTGGGACGAGACAAACAGGCAGGCAGCGTTTATCAGCCAGTCGAAATCATGAATCAGCTGGCACCACTGTAACCCTAATGAAACCTCACAATAAAAAAATTTTCACATTTGGGTTTTTTCATCAGAAATGATTACTACCTTCATATGTGTGTAAAATATTACTGTTCTCAAATGTTTAATTCATAGATTTTATATGTGTATGATTTTATTTTGACAAAACCATGTGCTGTATATCCATTGTCTAGCTGCAATGAAATGTTCGTAGCAGTATATTTGAATTTGATATGTGGTTGTCTCACCTAGCTATTTTAAGATGAATGCACTAACTATAAATCACTCTGGATAAGACAATTTTCTAAATGACTAAAATGTCAAAAGTAAATGTTTTACATACAGATCTCATATTAATGTAGTTATGTACTACTTATTTTGCTAAGAGTGAGGCAGATACATAGAATCTCTCTGAAATGAAGTGATAGATTTTGAACAAGTACATGTCTGTCACTGAACAACCCCATGCCATGATTAAATAGTGAAAAAACACACTATTCTCTTTCTCAAGTTGTTTAAACAATAAAAGCTAATTTAGCAACATTTCTGAAAATGTATATATAGCGTTTTGGAATGAAACTCTTCAAATATGCTTTTAGATACCGGATGAATGTCATTAATGTAAACTAAAATCAGTAATGGACAAAGGATAGATCCTTGAGAAACCCCCATAATGTAATGATTATGTTCTGATTTAGAGCTGTTCAGTGAAGACTATAACAATGGAAGTGATAATAGTAATTATATACTGTACTGTAAAGAAATTGACAATCCAAAATTGACTACATTTTGTATTTCATTTTGACCGTTCATAATGCAGGTCAACACAGTTAATAACAGTCTTAACCTTTTATACCAACTCTATATGCAAAGGAGCCTAACACACCACCTCTCTCTCTGAATAAAAAGTGACTGTCTGTCTCAGAGTCAGTTGGAGTAGAGAAGAGCTCCCACCAGTTCAGCTTCAGCACAAACCATGTTCCCTACATCTCTGCTGCTGCTCCTGCTGGCTTCTGCCTCCCGTGAGTCTCTTGGGATTTGGGGGAAGGAATGGGTTGATGCTCAATCAAATATATTGAGAAAAAATAATTTCAACAATAGCCTTAACACTCCTACTAAATACCATATTACTAATTATGTTTTTTTCCCTTAGATGTGGTGGTCTTGAACTCAGCCAGCCAAGTTTAATGGTTGTAAAGCCTGGTGAGTCTCAGATCATCATTATATATAGTCAACACATCATACTAAAGCCATCCAGTCAACACATCATACTACAGCCATTATATGTAATCAACACATCATCCTAAAGCCATTATATATGGTCAACACATCATACTAAAGCCATTATATATAGTCAACAAATCATACTAAAGCCATTATATGTAGTCAACACATCATACTAAAGCCATTATATGCAGTCAACACATCAACCTAAAGCCATTATATATAGTCAACACATCATACTAAGGCCATTATAAATAGTCAACACATCATACTATAGCAATTGTGTATAGTCAACACATCATACTAAAGCCATTATACATAGTTAACACATCATACTAAAGCCATTATATATAGTCAACACATCATACTAAAGCCATTATATATAGTCAACACATCATACTAAAGCCATTATATATAGTCAACACATCATACTAAAGCCATTATATATAGTTAACACATAACACTAAAGCCATTATATATAGTCAACACATCATACTAAAGCCATTATATATAGTCAACACATCATACTAAAGCCATTATATATAGTCAACACATCATACTAAAGCCATTATATATAGTCAAGATATCATACTAAATCCATTATATGTAGTCAACACATCATACTTAAGCCATTTTATATAGTCAACACATCATACTAAAGCCATTATATATAGTCAACACATCATACTAAAGCCATTATATATACATTTACGTCATTTAGCAGACGCTCTTATCCAGAGCGACTTACAGTTAGCGCATACATTATTTTATCGAACCCACAACCCTGGCGTTGCAAACGCCATGCTCTACCAACTGAGCTACATCCCCTGCCGGCCATTCCCTCCCCTAACCTGGACGACGCTGGGCCAAATGTGCGCCGCCCCATGAATCTCCCGGCCGCGGCCGGCTACGACAGAGCCTGGATTCGAACCAGGATCTCTAGTGGCACAACTAGCACTGCGATGCAGTGCCTTAGACCACTGCGCCACTCGGGAGATATATATTCAACACATCATACTAAAGCCATTATACATAGTTAACACATCATACTAAAGCCATTATATATAGTCAACACATCATACTAAAGCCATTATATATAGTCAACACATCATACTAAAGCCATTATATATAGTTAACACATAACACTAAAGCCATTATATATAGTCAACACATCATACTAAAGCCATTATATATCGTCAACACTTCATACTAAAGCCATTATATATAGTCAACACATCATACTAAAGTCATTATATATAGTCAACACATCATACTAAAGCCATTATATATAGTCAACACATCATACTAAAGCCATTATATATAGTCAACACATCATACTAAAGCCATTATATATAGTCAACACATCATACTAAAGCCATTATATATAGTCAAGATATCATACTAAATCCATTATATATAGTCGACACATCATACTAAAGCCATCATATATAGTCAACACATCATACTAAAGCCATTATATATAGTCAACACATCATACTAAAGCCATTATATATAGTCAACACATCATACTAAAGCCATTATATGCAGTCAACACATCATACTAAAGCCATTATATATAGTCAACACATCATACTAAAGCCATTATATATAGTCAACACATCATACTAAAGCCATTATATATAGTCAACACATCATACTAAAGCCATTATATATAGTCAACACATCATACTAAAGCCATTATATATAGTCAACACATCATACTAAAGCCATTATATATAGTCAACACATCATACTTAAGCCATTATATATAGTCAACACGTCTCATCAGTAAAATCTGAACTACAGAGAGTAGAATAACGGACAGGGAGAAGAGAATCAAGGAATAGAATAGAAGATCTCTCCCTGTCAGGATATTTAAACCTCTAGAGGGCGGTCTATGCAAAGTCTCCCTCCCCTTCATCCCTTTATAATCAGACACTGAGCTCTGGCTTCTCATTATAGGCAGCTTGGACTGATATTACAACATTACAAGTCCTGTATTAACTAATACTGAACAATGGAGCTTATGACTGTCTGGAGATTAGTTCTCATAGTGATGTCCATACACAGTAAGTAAAGCATTACATGGTGACTGAAGAATGTGTGAGTATCATGGTAAAACTCAAAATGTCTGTTAATACCAGATCTTCAACTGAGCGTCAACATTTTTGTTTTGCAGGTGTTTTCTGTGATGAGATGGATCAGTTACCTTCTCAGGTGAAAAGACCTGGAGACGCTGTTAAATTGTCCTGTACAATCTCTGGGTTTGATATGACAAGCTACTACATGAACTGGATAAGGCAGAAACCAGGGAAAGTACTGGAGCAGATTGGGAAATGAACACTGGTTCAGGCACATATGTTATCTATGCAGACTCCCTGAAAGGCCAGTTCACCCTGACTGAGGACGTCTCCACAAGCACACAGTTCTTAGAGGCCAAGAGTCTGAGATCAGAGGACTCTGCTGTTTATTATTGTGCTCGACAGACACACTGACTGGAGCTGGTGAAGCAGCTGTACAGAAACCCCCTAACAACACGGCTAGGTGGTGTACTACTTCCTCTCTTTGTGTCACACTAGAATAATACTGAGTATCATTACTGTAAAGAATACAACATCAATATCACAAAGCACTACACAATAAAAGACTCCAGCTTCTTACATTCAAACTACACAGTCAAATGATCTCTTGCCCAGTCTGGTCAAGCTTTCTTCTTGTCACACAAACAAGTAATTAACAAAGTATTCAGAACGTATGAATCTGTTACCCATCTCTGAATTCTCTATTTAATCTCTGTGTGATCTTCCCTCTGAGGTCATCCATCACTACTTATCTCACTGCAGAGTGGAGGAGAGGAACTGAAGCTCTGACTAGACTGAGGAACAGAGACACACCATAACTACTAATAGTTCATCATGACATTTACTATTGTGGTTCTACTGATGACAATAGGCTTGACAGGTGAACACTATTAGATCGTTTATTGTTTGATAAAGAATAATCACAGAGGTTTTGAGTCCAGGGATTTTCTCTAATGTTACTTTGTTTCCACAGGTGTTCAGGGTCAGACACTGACTGAGTCTGGACCAGTTGTTAAAAAGCCTGGAGATCCACACAAACTGACCTGCACAGCCTCTGGTTTGGACATGAATAGATACTGGATGGCTTGGATCAGACATACTCCTGGGAAAGGACTGGAGTGGGTTGCAACTATTACCTGTGACAGCAGTGGCACTTACTACCCCCAGTCTGTTAAGGGTCAGTAAACCATCTCCAATAGCATGAAACAGGTGTATCTCCAGATGAACAGTCTCTGCTGTTTATTATTGTGCCAGAGACACAGTGACACAGGATCCTGCAGCCCTGTACAAAACCTGATCAAGCACTTCTCTCACTAGCAAATCAAATCAAATCAAAGCAAAGTCAAATGTGATGTGAGACAGACAAAATAAGGATCCAGCATAAATTTCAAGTTTATTCAAAGCATACCATTCCTTATCAAGCTCAACGCAGCTTAATCCACTCTTCAGGCCATTTTAGTCAGTAAACATCATCTTGATGACATCTTATTTACATTCACCTGTATATCAGTCTAATCCAATTAAGAGTTTTAATTACTGATAGCAGACTTTTACTGTTATCTAAAAAGAGTAATGGGTCAAGCATATACTGTATCTTTGGGGACAACAATAGTTAGATTTTCACCATCTGTGCCTTTTGTGCAGTTCTCCAAAGCATCAATGATAATGATTATAATAACATACTGTAAGCAATGAGCAGAACAGAACCATTCATAATGCAAGTTATTGCATCCCATAATAGATCATTGTATTATTATTAATAGTATTATGATACATAATTGTTCTACTCAACATGTCACTGTGATTCTAGTAATTTTACTGTAGTTCTCCTTTAATCCTAAATCTCTGACTTTGATGCAAATCAATTATCCTCTTTGTATTAAAGAAGAGTCTGTTTCTCTTTCACTCAGTTGGAGTAAATAAGTATTATTCCCATCAGTTCAGCTTCCTCACAAACCATGTTCCCTGCATTTCTCCTGCTGCTGCTGGCAGCTGCCTCCTGTTTCTTTTTTAAATACATTTTACTATAAACATAATCAAACTGTATAAATGTATCATGTACCTAATGTTAGACCATTTTCAAATATCTAGATTTTTCCCCTGACAGGTATGCATGGTATTGTTGACCCAGAACTCAGCAGCCAAGCTCAATGGTTGTAAGGCCAAGATAATCTTTGAGCATCACTTGTAAGGTCTCTGGGTATTCTATCAGTGATGATAGCTATACCACAGACTTGATTAGATATCCTGTAGATAAAGCTATGGAATGGTTCAGATGGAAATTGCAAATATTCTTTCAAAAGCAGGTTCAGCATCTCCAAAGATGTTTCCAACAACATAGTCACTTTAGAAGGGCAGAGAAGTTAAACTGAAGACACAACTGTCTATCACTGTGTCAGATATAATTACACACAGTGGTGTGAAGCAAAGCATGACCTGTACAAAAACAACAAAAATGTCTATTGCAGGAAACCATCGTTCCTTAAGGACAACACAGTTCATATTGTCACAGTCAAAATTGACACTTCCTGGGAATGTGAGATAAACTGTCTAAGCTAGCTAGCTAACCCACCACCGGGACTAGCTGGCGAGTAGCTATTAGCAACGGTATAGTTATTTCACGCCTGAGAGTGCCTGTAATTACGCCAGCTGGCTGCCTACAATAATTACATACAATAATTCCCTACCATTCAGCTGTTTCCTAACCTCATTGTCTGAACCGTTAACGTTAGGTAGCAAGTGGCTACTGTGCTTGAAATATTAGCTAGCTTGTTGCTACCTGGATAGCTACTAGTAAACAATAGCTGGAACGACCGTGTGAACAGACGCGAACTGGCTGAGTCAATTCAGTGGCTAGCTTTGCACTTGGCTAGCTAACAGTAGCTGCTAGGGGTAAGTCATAACCTACATTTGCTTTGTTTTTTACATATTGATAGCCCGAGTCGTTCAAGGAATTTGGGACATGGGTGACTAGTTAACGTTAGTTTGGCTCTCTCTGTGTGTTCGTGCCGTGAAAGGAGGGGTTCTTCTTTGTCTGAAAGCAATGGCTAGCTAGTTTGCTAACTATTCTAGCTAACTAACTGGCTGAATAAGTTGACGACGGACTCGCTCAAGCTGTCGGGACTAACCCACAACGTTAGACACGGACACGGACGATCTGCTTGCGTGTTCATACACTGGTGGTTTGTTGTGGCCGAGTATTGGCGCTAAACCATGTTGCTGGAGTCCGGCATGCTAGCTGGCTGTGGCGTCATATGACTTGATGCCCGGACGATTTTCACGGAATAATACTGCACCTAGTTAGCTAGCTGAATAAACCGAGTTAGTCTATTCCTAGAAACATTGAACCGCTGTAGTTTACAACAATTATAGTTTCTGAGGTGGAAGTTGGGAGAGTTATATTTGGGAGTTGTGCTGAGGGAGGCCCCGCTCTCTCCTTTCCCAGATGTTTAGTTCATTTCATTCCGATCTCCTCTGCATTATTGTAGCCATTTGCTGCAGCCTGTCAACTATGCCTCTGCCTATCCCTGTTCTCTCCTCTCCGCACAGGCTACACAAACGCCTCACACCGCGTGGCTGCTGCCTCTCTAACCTGGTGGTCCCTGCACGCACCACCCACCTGGAGTTCCAGGTCTCAGGCAGCCTCTGGAACTGCCGTTCTGCTGCCAACAAGGCAGACTTCATCCCAGCCTATGCTACCCTCCAGTCCCTCGACTTCTTGGCGCTGACGGAAACATGGATTACCACTGAAAACACTGCTACTCCTACTGCTCTCTCCTCGTCTGACCATGTGTTCTCGCATACCCCGAGAGCATCTGGTTCAGCGGGGTGGTGGCACAGGAATCCTCATCTCTCCCAAGTGGACATTCTCAATTTTTCCCCTAACCCATCTGTCTATCTCCTCATTTGAATGCCATGCTGTCACAGTCACTAGCCCACAGTCTCCCTTGGAGAGTTCATCAATGAGCTTGACGCCTTGATAAGTTCCTTTCCTGAGGATGGCTCACCCCTCACAGTTCTGGGGGATTTCAACCTCCCTACGTCTACATTTGACTCATTTCTCTCTGCCTCCTTCTTTCCACTCCTCTCCTCTTTTGACCTCACCCTCTCACCGTCCCCCCCTACTCACAAGGCAGGCAATACGCTTGACCTCATCTTTACTAGATGCTGTTCTTCTACTAATCTCACTGCAACTCCCCTCCATGTCTCCGACCACTACTTTGTATCCTTTTCTCTCTCGCTCTCCTCCAACACTACTCACTCTGCCCCTACACAGATGGTAATGCGCCGTCGCAACCTTCGCTCTCTCTCTCCCGCTACTCTCTCCTCTTCCATCCTATCATCTATTCCCTCTGCTCAATCCTTCTCCCTCCAATCTCCTGATTCTGCCTCCTCAACCCTCCTCTCCTCCCTTTCTGCATCCTTTGACTCTCTATGTCCCCTATCCTCCCGGCCGGCTCGGTCCTCCCCTCCAGCTCCGTGGCTTGATGACTCATTGCGAGCTCACAGAACAGAGCTCCGGGCAGCTGAGCGGAAATGGAAGAAAACTAGACTCCCTGCGGACCTGGCATCATTTCACTCCCTCCTCTCTACATTTTCTTCATCTGTTTCTGCTGCTAAGGCCAATTTCTACCACACTAAATTCCAAGCATCTGCCTCTAACCCTAGGAAGATCTTTGCCACATTCTCCTCCCTGCTGAATCCCCCCCCCCCCCCCCCCCTCCTCCCTCTCTGTGGATGACTTTGTCAACCACTTTGAAAAGAAGGTTGACGACATCCGATCCTCGTTTGTTAAGTCAAATGACACTGCTGGTCCTGCTCACACTGCCCTACCCTATGCTTTGACTTCTTTCTCCCCTCTCTCTCCAGATAAAATCTTGCGACTTGTTACTGCAGGCCGCCCAACAACCTGCCCGCTTGACCCTATCCCCTCCTCTCTTCTCCAGACCATCTCCGGTGATCTTCTCCCCTACCTCACCTCGCTGATCAACTCATCCTTGACCGTCGGCATGTCCCTTCCGTCTTCAAGAGAGAGAGAGTTGCCACCCCTTCTCAAAAAAACCAACACTCGATCCCTATGATGTCAACAACTACAGACCAGTAAGCGTCTGCTAAATGGCCCATATTATCGATCCCTTCTTTCTTTTCTCTCCAAAACTATTGAGCGTGCCGTCTTTAGCCAACTCTCTTGCTATCTCTCAGAATGGACCTTCTTGATCAAACCAGTCAGGTTTCAAGACTGGTCATTCAACTGAGACTGCTCTTCTCTGTGTCACGGAGGCTCTCCGCACTGCTAAAGCTAACTCTCTCTCCTCTGCTCTTGTCTTCTAGACCCTGTCTGCTGCCTTTGATACTGTGAACCATCAGATCCTCCTCTCACCCTTCCGAGCTGGGCATCTCCAGCGCGGCTCACTCTTGGATTGCGTCCTACCTGACGGTCAACTCCCTTACCAGTGGCGTGGCGAGAAGCTGTTCCGCACCACGTGCTCTCACCACTGGTGTCCCCCAGGGCTCAGTTCTAGGCCCTCTCCTATTCCGCTATACACCAAGTCACTTGGCTCATGTATATCCTCTACATGGCCTCTCCTATCATTGCTTACACTGACAAACACACAACTAATCTTCTCCTTTCCCCCTTCTGATAACCAGGTGGCGAATAGCATCTCTGCATGTCTGGCAGACATATCAGTATGGATGACGGATCACCATTATGACATTGGATCTTGTTATAGCGTAGTTACACCTGGTAGGGCAGTACTGTTTGTTCATCTCCTCACATTTCTTTCACTGTTTGCGATTGGTTGATTGGTTTGTTAATTGTTAATTATGTAGGCTTTGCTTTAAGTCGAAAATGACCCTATGAAACTGAAAATGTAGGGGAAGCAAACAACATAAACCAATGAAGGGTATGATTATGATAATTATGAGGCCAGAGTTCATCTAGCTATATGAATGATGTTAATGGGCATCACCTTAATCCATATAATCATTAATTAAAGATTTTCAATTAATTGGTATTAGAGGAAAACAGCATGTTTATTTATGGTTGTTCATGGGTAAAAATGTGTCTGCAATTTGAATGAGTGAATGTGTACTTAATTGTGCCTTCCTGTATTTATACCTTTTCAAAAATGTTTGTTCACTTTACTGAGTCAGTTAGCTAATTTGTATCTTATCTTTTATGATTTCTTATTGTTGTTGCATGGTGAGAAGGAACCTGCTCAGTAAGCATACATGAGACGGTTCAAACGATGTGTATCCTGTACAACGATAATAAAATATTAAACTTAGTGGTAGTTTATCTCAAAGAATACAAGACAACCAACTACATAGAACTAAGTGGTGTGACTTATAGTGCCAAGATTAACTGACATGTAGTTATTAGGTATAAACTGATGTAATGACCATTTTCCACGAGTAAATTCCAGTAGTAACAGTATTTCTGTAAATTCCAAATCAAGTGTACATTTCTTTCTCTTCTGTCTTTCTTTCTTTCTTTCTTCTTTCTTTTCTTTCTTCTTAGTTCTTTCTTTATTTCATTCTTTCTTTCTTTAGTTCTTTCTTTCTTCTTTCTTTTTTCTTTCTTTCTTCTTGCAGCAACCATAGCCACCCCTACTATGCCACCTCGTATGAAATGTTGGCAACCCCTCTAACAACGTTCTACAGCATCGGTGTGTTCGCTACCGGGTTTTCTCCTTTCCTCGCTCACCCTTTCAAATGGACAGACGCCAGGGGGGATGCGCTGACGGACTTCATCCAGTACCGGCGGTCCAAGAGCGGGGAGGGAACCAAAAACCAAACACAGGAGTCACAGTTCCGGGGGGGAATGGGAAATGTCTGGAAAAAAAACCCCCAACGACCTTTTAAAATTTTTTCCGTGAAAATCCTGGAGGTGAAAAGACAGCAGACATCAAAAAAACCAGGTAAGATGTGGGGCATTATATTATATTGAAGTTGGCTCTATTTTTCTAAAGATTCCCTTTAATTTTTTGGATGTAAACTATTATGTTTAGAAAAAAACCCGTATAGAATGATTTTGGGTTTTTTACCCTGGTTTTTGAAAATTCATAAATTTTTTCAATAAAGGGGTTAAACTAACATGAGCCCATTTCTTTTAACCCCTTCCCCTTTTCCCTTTCTCACAGATTCCAACAGTGTCCCTTTTGCGTCGGCGCCCATGGCCCCCACCCAGTACCTGATGTTTTTATGTATACAAAACTGAATTCACAAAGTAGGTCCTTAAGAAATCAGGTGTATAATAATATTACGATATTGCGTTATATCTTCATGTCTGTTGGATCAGTGTCATGACTTTAAAGCTGCCTATTGAGGTTGCAGGGTTTTTGTACAGGCAGTGAATGGAGACATAGCACTGTGATGCTTTGACTATGGGTAAAGGGAACCACAAGTCACCGTCTCAACAGGTAAGCAAACTTACATTTTTACATCCATCAAATGTTTAATTTTCCCATTCTATTTTTCTGTGTAGAAATAAACATATGTTGTCTTGTGCGTTTTTCAGATGCAAAAGTCATTGAATAGACCTGTCATGGTCCACTAAAGAAATGGTTTACTTATTTCCTGGAAAGTCAATAGTTCCTCAAGTTCTAGGTTCTGCTGTTGTTAAGAATTTAATGCAGAAGTTTGTTTCCTAAAGTCTATAAATAGAAAACCCTTCGTTCCATAGAAAAAAATGACAGTCTAAGAGAAAATGATCCATATTGTGGAAATATATTGTTGACCAAGTGTGACTATGTTAGAATGTAGTATCTATTTAGATTTTTTTTTACAAACCAAATTACTTTGGTTTAGTGATGAAGTTATCAAGATTAGTTGAAACCAATTGCTGTAAAGAGGGTAGTTTTTGTATTGCTTGGCATACGCCCTTGTCACACTGTGTTCAGCTACTTTGACTATTGGGGGAAAGGGACAATGGTCACAGTATCATCAGGTAAGCCATTGTTTTGTGTCTTTTTTTTTACGCAGTTAAATTGCTATAGTTTGTAGATAAATCATTGTTTTATGGAGGAAAGTTAAAATTATGACTTGGATATTGTTATTAGCGTAGTACACCTAGGAAGGGCAGTATTGTTTGTTCATCTCCTCACATACTTCTTTCACTGTTTGCGATTGGTGTTTAATTGGTTAATTATGTAGGCTTTGCTTTAAGTCGAAAATGACCCTATGAAAATGAAAATGTAGGAGTCAAACACATAAACCAAATGAAGGGTATGATAATATGAGCAGAGTTCATCTTAGCCTATATTGAATTGAGTGTTAATTGGCATCACCTTAATCCATATAAATCATTTAATTAAAATGATTTCAATTAATTGGTATTAGCGGAACAGCATGTTTTATTTTATGGTTGTTTTCACTGGTAAATGTGTCTGCAATTGAATGAGTTAATGTGTACTTAATTGTGCCTTCCTGTATTATACCTTTTCAAAAATGTTTTTTCTATTCTACTGAGTCAGTTACTTAATGTTTGTATTCTTATCTTTTATTATGTCTTATTGTTGTTGCATTGTTGAGAAGGAACCTGCAAGTAAGCATTACATTAGACGGTGCACACGATGTGTATCCTGTACATACGACTAATAAAATATTAAACTTAGTGGTAGTTATATCTCAAAGAATACAAGACAACCAACTACATAGAACTAAATGGTGCCTTATAGTGCAAGATTAAATGAACATGTAGTTCTTAGGTTATAACTGTGTAATGACCATTTTACCACGGTAATTCCTAGTAGTTACCATGTCATTTCTGTAAATTCAAATAAAGTGTTACATTTCTTTCTTTTCTTTTTTCTTTCTTTCTTTTTTCTTTCTTTTTTCTTTTCTTCTTTTTTTTTCTTTTTTTTTTGCAGCCCATAGCCCCCCTACTCTGCTCCCCTTTATGAATGGGGAAAACCCTATAACAAGTCTACACATGGGTTTGTGTCGTACCGGGTTTCTCCTTCCTCGCCACCTTCAATGGACAGACCCACGGGAGTGCGCGACGGTTTCATCCAGTCCCCGGGCGGTCCAGAGCGGGGAATACACAGGATCAGTCAGCTCCGGGGGGATAGAATGTCGGGAAAACCCTCAACGACTTTCAAATGTTTCCGTTTTAAAAAACCCCCTGGAGGTGAAAAAAACAGCAAAAAAAAAAACCAGGTAGATGTGGTAATTTTTTATTATTTTGAAGTTGGTTATTTTTCTAAGATTGCTTTTAATTTTTGTGATGTAAACTTTTTATGTTTAGAAAACCTGATTATAGAATGATGCTTGTTGTTTACCCTGTATGAAAATATCAATATAATTTCAATAACGTGTTAAACTAACATGAGCCCATTTCTTTTACCTCCCGCTATTCAGTCTCACAGATTCCAACAGTGTCTTTGCTGTCGGCGCCCAATGGCACCACCCAGTACCTGATGTGTATGATTGAAGATTTCGCCCCGGAGAAAGTCACTGTCACCTGGAAGAAGAATGACAAGGAGGTGGAGGGCCCGAAACCTACTGTAGGCCAACAGCAGTCAGGCCTCTTCTCAGCCAGCAGTCTGCTGAAGGTCGTCAACACTGACTGGAACAACAAGGTCCAGTACAGCTGTGTGGTGCAGCACCAGAAACAAACCATCACCGAGACGATCTCCAAAACAGGTCTGTACATAGGAGTAGACTGTACTACAATTGATGTCATGCTCACATACAGGATCTCTATTATTTACTGAAGTTCCTCATCAGTAACAGTAACATGTCATGCTTTCCCACTGCTTCCCTCCCCTTTCAGAACCACTGACGGTGACTCTGATCCCACCGAGTGTGAAAGAGGTGTTCTTGAACAACCAAGCAGTGCTGGACTGTGTCATTACTGGTACAGACAAGGACACAGTGTCTGGTACTACTATCACCTGGCAGGTCAATGGACAGGCCAAAATGGATGGCATCCTTCTGAAACCTATTGAATCAAAGGGCAACCTGAACAGCAGGGTCAGTACTCTGACCATAGACATGAAGGAGTGGACCAAAGTGAACAAAGTCCAGTGTTCGGCCATGAAGAGTGGTGAAGTCACACCGGTCATTCAGGACCTCAGCTTCACCAAAGGATGTAGGTCACTGAGACATCTCAATGTGGTTGTGATAAGTGGTCACATACTCCAGGTTCTGGAGAGGAAGCCACAGGATGTGCAGACTTTTGCTCCAGCCAGCGCTAACACACCTGAGTCAGCAAATCAACTAATCATTAACTAATCATCACCTTTGCTTAGTTGAATCAGAACAGAAACCTGCACACCCCTGTGGTGCTCCAGAACTAGGGTTAAGGACTACTAGGTTGGATTTTAAACTGATATTCACACACTGGTTTTCATAGGTGCCTACACGTACATGAGTGTAACGTTTCTCCTTAAAATCAATCCTCTTGCAGGTCGAGCCCACTTCAGTGTCCGTCCACCTTCTCCCGGAGGAAGACACGAAGGAGGAGGGGGAAGTGACTCTGGTGTGCCTGGTGGTCAGCCCGTCTCTCTGTGACGTCTACATCATGTGGAAGGTGGGCAGAGGCGAGTACCAGGAGGGGCTCACCAGCCGTCCTCAGAAAACCCCGGAAGGCAACGACTCTGTTACCAGCGTCTTCACCACCACCAAGAATGAGTGGCAGAGAAACGTGCAATTCACATGCGCCGTCAAGTACGCCGGCTCGGACAACAACACCGCACCTAAGGAGAGGAGTGTGTCGAAGTCCATGGGTAACTCATGTGAAGACAAGTGATTTTAATCTGTGTGTGTTGTGTCGTTGTGTCTCCTTATTGACTCCTCTGTGGGTCAGAATAGCCAATTGCTAGGTGTGTCCACTGTTGTCATCTTTGTTGTCCTTGTTGAGTTAAAGTTAACATGTTAGTGTTGTCATTGTTTTGTTGACTGTAGACATGTATATTGTTTAATGTGATATTGTCCAGTCTATTGTGTTGTAAGATGTCAGTCCTATTGCACAGTTTTGTGTTGCCATTGTTGTCCTTTGTCATTGTTCAATGTGCCTTCCTAATGTGGAGGCTGGCTAATAAACAATATCGCATATGAGATCACATGGTTCCGTGTTCCTATATCAATTACTTCAAGTCTTAGAAAATATACTGGTCTATTGTACATATAAAAACAGAATGAAGACAATTGTTTTGGCATGAAAAGACACAACAGTACTGAATAGCCTACATAGTAGTACTGTGCTTCCAGTAAGGTGGTCATGGATGTACTATTTTGTGTATAGGTGTAGTTTGACATAAATGTGGATGGATGTGCATGTTAACATTAGGCCAAGATAGAAGTCTGCACAGCTCAGTTTCATGTGTTCTTTGTGTGTTGATGTGTGTGTCTGTGTGTGTCCATATAATTTGAACTCATGTAGCTGTATTTGTTAGAATATGATAAAGACTAATACAGGTGTACAATACACATACACACATGAACACACACACACACGCACACACGCAGACACACATGAACACACACACACGCAAACACGCAGACACACATGAACACACACACACACATACGCAGATACACATGAAGACGCAAACACACGCAAACACGCAGACACACATGAACACACACACACACACACGCAGACACAAGCGTATGTCCGTTCTTCACCACCTGTCTCTCTCCCTGTTCTCAGAGAACATCCTACTGACTGAGCCTGAGGCGGGCTTCGCTCTGAGCTGCACGGACAACGATGAGGATGAGTTCAGCAGCCTGTGGTCCACCACCTCCTCCTTCATCATCCTCTTCCTTCTCTCCCTCACCTACAGCACAGTGCTCAGCCTGGTCAAGGTACTGACACCGCTTATTTCATGTGATTGTAGACTTCTGATGAAGGCCATTGGTAGCTGAAACGTCACGATTTTAAATGAAAAATAAGGTATCAAGTGTTTAATTGAACACAAGCATTTCGCTACACCCTTAATAACATCTGCTAAATATGTGTATGTGACCAATAACATTTTATTTTATTTTATTTGATTGTGAGCGAGGGTTGCTCCTTTCTCTTCCAAATATGATTATATACACGGAGGAGAGGTGAGAAACTCTTTGTGGGCCAAAGGTAACCTGCGTTTTTCCACTTCGCTGTCTGTTTATTGTAATAACCTGTGTCTGTCTCTGCCTCTTTTCAGATGAAGCAGTGAAGAACACATGATGGACTGCAGAGATAGATGTGTCAAGATTAGAAAGGAAATGGTCTAGAATGGTTATGGCATAGTGTTCTTTAGTAATAATGTTATGTATATATCCAATACGTTATTGATTATGATTGATTAGTATTGTTGTTCTCAATATTATACAAGCATTGTGGTGATATGTTATTTTTCATTCATTGATTTATATTGTATCCTGTGTATCCTGTGATGTTTGTGTGTCCTTTTTCACTTTAATAAAGTCTAACTTTTAGTTGTTGTGTTTTTACCGAGACATCCACTGGATTGTAATTGAAGGACACATCCTATATCCAAAGACATTACTGATTTGAGTGTTTCTGCTTGGCAGAGTTATCTATGGAGCCAATTTACGGCTGTTGTCCCTCCCAGGACAGATGAAAACAACGTTGGGCTATATCTGTAATACTCAACTAAAACTTCAACATTCAGTTGATCTGAGGTGGTTTCTTGGTTCTCTAACTTGTCTAATAATAGTGTCGTGCAAAAGCAGCTTCCTCTCTCTCTATCCCCTTGATACCACACCTGTGGAACTGAAACTGTCCAGCAACTGCCAGGAACACAAATACACTTCTTTGAAAGAAGAGAAACACTGCTTGTATGAAAGCAAAGCATGCACGCACACACCCACACAAGCACACACCCATATACAGTATATAAATATATATATAAACAAAACCCAAAGTATTTTTGTGCTTTGATTTTCCTATGTATGTCGTATGGTCGTGTGAACTTGGGTTTTTCGCTTTGTATTTATATAATTGGGCTACCACGCACACAATATATTTTTCCACTATTTCCAATAGGTTGGAATTAGCTTATGTCATAAAAGTCATTAAATTCGTTCAAACGTAGGTTTCTTTTCTAAGTTGTTGATTACTTCGTAACTTAGATCAATGGTTCCCAACCGATGTGCCACCACACACTGGTGTGAGTTGAGGAACTCTCAGGTATGCTTAGAAACTTGGATCACTCATGAAATGAATCCACATTAAATTTTGACTTGAGAGCACAAGTGACGGTCAGATAATACATTAAATGACACATGGTTACATCTGTATCGTTGTTTCAAGTCCAGTGCCCTCAGGCTGTTGAGGGGCAACCAACAAGGGCAAAGTCTGTGAAAACCATTTAAGCACACGAACGTATGATTATGTTTAGCCAGAGTATTGTATTTCTATATGGCTCCGGGCTTAGCTATACCGCAGCCTCTGACATAGATACAAATGGAGCATGGCTTTGTGTCCGTGGTTGTGCCTTTAAAATGCAGAAAACAGCTTGTCTCTAGCTCAAACCATTCAAAAGTAAATACCTATTTTACTGGAGCTAAAAACATATATTTCTGGAGCAGATTCGTGGACACTCTTCACCCTAAAAGTTTAAGCCTTAGGGAGGGTGGGGGTGGGAGTGGGGGGGGGTTCCACTAACATATGGAATTGTTTTAAGATGGTCAAAACATGGATCATTTATGTATTTGATTTTGAATTTTAAGACCCCTTTAGGTCTCAATAAAAATATATAAACAAATTACAGTATTTGATAAAATAGTGAACTTGGCCTTTACTGCTATATAGTCCACAGAAATGCATTCATTGAATAACACATTTATAAATGGCAAAAAAGACAAATCTATCAAAAGTGATATGGTTTTGAAGTGTCTGTCCTATATCTAGGAGATATGAGAAAGCTCCGGATATTTTATTTACAAACCGGTAGTGGGTTACCTTCATGATACTTCTGGGGGTTGTAGGACAAAACGGAGAACACCATTGTGTTTGTGAGAGTCTCATCTTGTTGGCCAATCCATTCAGACACTACAGAATTTCATGAGAAGACCAATTTTCGAGATGTCCCCTGGTCTGGCAAACAGCACTGTAGCTCTGCCACTTTCCACCGCGGATGTTGAAGGCAGCCCATACACAAAACAGATATATCCCTAGCTTAAACTGACAGATTTAGATTTAGATTTTTGTTATTATTTTAGTTACGTTTACACGGGACTAATCAACGTTTAAGGACAAATTAACCATAATGAGTAAGAAACTATAAAAACTATGAACATATTTATCATAAACCCTAAGTAATTTATTACTAAAAAATATTTGTCACAAGAAATAGATGATTTGTAGAATGGATCAGATGAGATGGAGGTCGTTACCACTAAATTAATTAATAGGGAAAGTTTACATGTGCCACAGAATGTTATATCCCATCACGGTTGTGAACCACTGACTTAGATAAAGGTCACTTTCTAGGTGTGCAAATGCTACTGGAGACTAACAGGCTGCCAGGCATCAGAGCTGCTATCCACAGCAACACTTATATTCAGTGCATGAGGCTACTTCTGCTAACAATTACAGGGAGCTTGAGGACAGCAGCTCTTGTTAAGCAGCTAAACACTATCATTTAGTATGAAAAAATAAAAATAAAAGTGTATTACCTCACTAACTGTATGTCGCTCTGGATAAGAGCGTCTGCTAAATGACTAAAATGTTTTAAAAAATGTAAAATGTAGTGGAAATCTGAAGTCACACCATGAAGGAAGTCTTTTTTACTGTAATAAGAGACGGGCCCTCATCTTAGCTATATATAATACAATAAGTATTTTTCAGAGAGAATTATGTTGAATAGTGCTGGAGATCAAACCAAATCAAAGTTTATTGGTCGTGTATATGATTCGCAGGTGTTATGGCAACTTTGATTTGATCTCTAGTGCTATTCAACATCATTATTTTTGAATATGGAATGAAATGATGGAAAATATGGAAAAGGTCTATCCTATGCAGCATTTGGTAATAAATGGTAAGTCTATTCAGTGACAGGTGTAGAACCTACAGGAGATAAGTTAAATAGCCCAGTGCCAGTTGTGGCCAACCTCCAGAGGGAGAGCTATGCTAACATACTTCCCTTCCCCTCTGTATATAAAGCAGCATGTTGCCAACTCATCACTCAACTCATACAATAGTTATTAGAGTTATATGACATTTCAGAAACCAGAATAATTTTGAACAGCTGTGGGTTTGTTATTTTCACACTAGCATGCATATAGGGTGAGTATGAAGCCAGTACATTTTCACCAGGAAAGTTACATCTGTTGAATTAATAATTTACTACATGAACTGGATAAGGCAGAAACCAGGCAAAGCTCTGGAGTGGATTGGGGGTATTGACTCTGGTTCAACAGATGCTCCAGACTACTCAGACTCCCTGAAAGGCCAGTTCACCCTGACTGAGATTGTCTCCACAAGCACACAGTTCTTAGAGGCCAAGAGTCTGAGATCAGAAGACTCTGCTGTTTAATAATAATAATAATATGCCATTTAGCAGACGCTTTTATCCAAAGCGACTTACAGTCATGCGTGCATACATTTTTGTGTATGGGTGGTCCCGGGGATCGAACCCACTACATTGGCCGTTCAAGCGCCGTGCTCTACCAGCTGAGCTACAGAGGACCACTGTTTGTTATTGTGCTTGAGAGACACCTTGACTGAAATTGCTGGGGCAGCTGCACCAAAACTACCCAGCCAAAACTATGCCACATACGCACACGCAATACCTCTGT